AAAAGACACAACATTAGAATGATGGCTAAATTTTCAATGAAATGATGGAATCCAGAGAAAAAAAATGAAATGTTTTCAAAGAAAAAAAAATGAAGAAAACCTGGCAATACAGAATGCTATCCTTGGTGAATATACTCCTCAAAAACAAAGGGGAAATAAAGATATTCTCAGAAAAAAAAAGTCAATATAATTTGTTGGCAGTAGATCTATATTGTAAGAAACACTACAAGAAATTCTTTAGGCTGAAAAAAATCACAGGTGAAAGCAAGCAGGTAGAAGGAATGAAAAACACTGGAGTGGGGAAATATGACTGTTAACCATTTAGAGCAACAATATGAAGAAAGTCATATATATATACACACACACATATGTATATATAATATTTATATTATATTTATATATTTTTATATATAATACAGATAAAAATAAATTATATGGCAATAGCAAAATATAGTATGAGGGGATAAACAAATGTAAATATTTGCAAGATTTAAATTTTTTTTTAATGTTTACTCATTTTTGAAAGAGAGAGAGACAGTGCGCGCATGAGAGGGGGAGAGGCAAAGAAAGCCTGGAGACACAGAATCTGAAGGAAGCTCCAGGCTCTGAGCTGTCAGCACAGAGCCCTATGTGGGGCTCAAACTCACGAACCATGAGATCATGACTTAAGCTGAAATCAGACCCTTAACTGACTGAGCCACCTAGGCACCCCTGCAAGATTTTTTAATATAAACAAGAACCAACATAAAGTTGTTTGTATTAAAGATTCATTTAGTAATTTCTGTTGAAAACTCTAAATGAATTATGCTGAGATGAAACAAAATTATTAAGAGGGGTGATAGAATAAGATAAAAAATTATTGATTAATCCATAAGTAGGCAGTAAAAGAGGAATAAGCATTAAAGAACAAAGTGGATAAATAGAAAACAACACATGAGAGGGATAGGAAATAGGAATAAGCTATTCTCTAAGTGGGCAATTTTCACAATACATATATCTACCAAAGACTCATCTCCACAGTATATAAGGAAGTCTTAAAATAGATGTTAAATGATAAACAATTCAAAGAAATGTGCAAAAGACCTGAACACTTTACAAAATAGGATGCCCAAATTTCCGATAAGCATATGAGAAGGAACTTAACTTGGTAATACACATGGAAAGGCAATCAGAATCACAATATGATACAAACACATACTCACAGAATGTTTAAAATACAAAAAGATAGTACTAAGTGTTGACAGTAGTGCAAAGCAACTTGAAATTTCATACATTTCAGTGAAAGGGGAAATTAGTTCAATTAATTTGGAAAACTGCTTGGCAATTTCTAATAAAGCTAAATATATATGTAGTCTGTGATGTAGCAGTTCCAATACTGGGTATACATCTAACAGTAATTAGGATATATGTCTGCCATAGTATATGTACATAAATGTTCATAAAGTATTTATAATACCTAAAAATGTAAATAATGCAAATGTCTATCATATAGGAGAACTGATAGGTAAATTCTGGTAGTATATCCATACAAAGGGATATTGCACAGCAATAAAAAAGAATAAACTACGGGCAACTGGGTGGCTCAGTCAGTTGAGTGTCTGACTCTTGATTTTGGCTTGAGTCATGATCCCAGGGTCATGGGACTGAGCCCCACATGGGACCCTGCACTGAGCATGGAGTCTTCTTAAGATTCTCTCTCTCTCTCTCTCTCTCTCTCTCTCTCTCTCTCTCCCTCTGCCCCCTCCCTTGCACATGCTCTCTTTCTTTCTCACTCTCTCTTTCTCTTTTTATCTCAAAATAAAATAAAACATAAAAAAAGAATAAACTAATACATGCAATCATGGGATGAAAATCACTACATTACTTTGAGGGGAAAAGGCCATTACAGAGAAGCAAATAATGTAAGTGTCTATTTATATAATGTATAAGAATAGGCAAGACTAACAGGCAGTGAAAAAATTCATATTAATGGGGCAAATTCTCTATAAGGCTACTGCTAGTTCTGGACTACTAGATTTAGATACCTGTCCTAACTTTTATTCTTTGCCTTCAAAGAATCTCCCAAGACAAAATAAACAGTACTTCAGCTATGGGTATTTCTATCCTTTGTGTGAAGCCATTTTTCATCTTGAATTATCTATTAGATTTAAGGTACTGGAGAAAGTGAGCAAAGCAAAGCTTCTTGATTGACATGAACTGGAAACTCCTAATATTAACACTCCAACTCAAAAATGGTTGTCTTATGCACACTCCCTGATGAAAGGGCTTAAGTGCATTATATTTAGGAAAATTCTGGTAATATTTAGTAATATTATAAATACGAGTAAACTATTTGGGGCCCCTAAGGAGGTGGGGATAAAGATGCTAAGAGGACGTGTGAGTGAATAAGTAAATACAGTCAAAAGTAGACAGTAGTGAACAATTAGGTATCTATTATGAATTCCATAGTAATGTACAAATAATTTTAAGATTTTTCCTTTTTGTATCTTTGACCTATATATTAACTATAATGTAAAGCAAATTTTATGGCAATTTTTAAAAATTGTAATATTTTATCTTTTTAGCATACCATACTGGTTAAACTTCAGACAAATCTGAGTTCAATTATAAGTTCCAGTGTTTAATAGTTAGCTGACCTTGAGCAAGCTATTGTTTTCTCCTAAATCTTCATTTTATAATCTTTAAAATAAATATAGTAATATTATTTCCCTTATTGAAAAGAATAACAGAGGTATTACACATAAGTGTCCATGTATGTACAAAATGACATCTCTTGTCAGATAAGATTCTGGGGGCGGGGGGAAGTGGCTAACGAGTGCTTTCCAGTACTGGAGTAAGGAGCCAGTTCTGAGCAGAGTAATCATATCTGGGTATTCATGTGTAAGACAGAGATCAACAGCAGGCTAAAAGGGAGGATTTTACAGAACATTTTCCACAGAAATAATGTTCTTTGGAAATCAATTAAAGAGTTTTTTAAAACTATATCTAAATAAGATCTCCAACAGTGGGGAAAAAATAAGAGAAACAAAGAACAATTTCAAAGGGAAGACATTTTAGACAAAAAAGAAAAGGAAAATAATATTGGCACAAAGAGGAAAAGGGTGAGGATCAGTTGGAAACATTACCTTAGACACACTGGATAGGGACTGTCACTAACTCCTTAATAAAGGATAACTGGAGATGAGATCAAATCTATTGCTTATACTTTATAACTCCTCCAGTGTAGCTACATATAGAAATCTGTACACAACCATAGAACTGGAATACAGAGAGGCATAGCCCCCAAATCTCAAGAGAGGAAAGAAGTCTGTGTCCATCAGAAACTAGATAGAATGATGAAAGATATGACATTAGCTATAAACATTGAAATTGTGAAACAGAAGTCATCATGCTGTTCATGCACATATATTTTTTTTCATGAAAATAAACAAAACAAAACAAAACAAAACAAAACAAAGGAAATGAATAAGCATTTGAAGATTTTGGACAAGCAGTATCTGAAGTCAGAAAGAAACAAACATACACACCATACTTCTGTGATTTCTGGATTTCACTGATCAATACAATATCCCACACTTCAGCATCTTTCTCCCCCCTCTTTACTCAAACAGAAACTGACATAAAGATGCCAAGTTCTTATTTTACCAGATACCGATATTTAAAATAATCACAAATCATCATTCATCCCCTTCTTAATTTCACAAAAGAATGAAGTGATACCAAAAACATGACGGACATGAACTGGGAGGGAAAGTGCATTATGAAAAAATTCACTATATTATTTACATTATTCTCATTTTTGTGCTTGTATGTGACAACTTCTCTGTGCACTGGAATTGGTTTGTGGGCCATAATTTCAACCCCACTATCTCAATGCACTCCTGTATTCCAGCATCATAGATAAAGGCACCCATATCACCAGTTAAAACACTTTACTCCTATGCAAATGCATATGGGGTTCTTGTTACACAATGTGATGATAAGGAAGTATCAACAAATCACTTATCAATTTTGACAAACCTTAATTTTTGCAGGCTTTGACATACGGATCAATATTGGCCGTACCTTGATAACTGGAGTCAAGATTCCCTTTCAATGTGCAACAAATAATTGCAACTAAACCCTGTGTTTAGCTCTTATAATATCATTTATAGCACTGAATTACAACATTGGCTGGCATGATTATCTCCCTTCTAGATAAACCTTTTAAGGGCAGGAACTAGTTTTCCTCACCTTGTTATCTTTACAACTAAAACAATAGTTGGAGGGGAAAAAAGCAATAGTTGGTACAATATGAGTCCCTATAAGTGTAGAAGAATGAATGGCAACATTCAGATTATGTCTCCTGAAACATAATACCCTATCCCTGCTCCTGTTCTATATATTGATGGAAGTAGGAAGTGGCTCTGTCCTTTAATATTCACCTGATTCAGTGCAAGAGCAAGAGAGCAGGGAAGGGGCAGAGAGAGGGAGAGAAAGAGAATCCCAAGCAGGCTCCACATCATTGGTGCAGAGCCTGATGCGGGGCTCAAACTCATGAACCATGAGATCATGACCTGAGCTGAAATCGAGAGTCAGACGCTTAATCAACTGAGCCACCCAGGAGCCCCTTATTCATTCTTCAGAATATGACACCCTTACTAAGTGTTTAACTCGGTGCTAACTGCTGAAGATAATCAAAATGTGCAGAGTGTAGTTCTTGCCTTCAGGGATGGCAATCGCAGTTCCTCTCTGGAGCTCACATTACCCTCTTAGTACAGTGCCAATTTCTTGAATGATATAAATAACAAAATTGTTTTAAATCTCTGTGGAGTAAAAATTTGCTCTGATATGTTCTTAGTGAGAATAAAGCCTGTTTATCACTGTAAGTGGCAATAGCCCCTCTGTTTATGTAAGAGTCCTCTTCTCCAACAGATTATAGCCACTATCCCCATGACACAGTTTACATAAATTGGAGCCCTAGCCTTATCCACTTTAAGTGAAACAATAAATCTGCTTACTATTGCAAGTCTTGTTGTATTTGCTGTTCTCCTGTGCAAACCCTTCCAGCCGGCACTGAAAACGATGCTGCCAAAATTCTTGAAACCAAGGATTTCGAAGGTTTGTTTCTGGCCGAAGCTTCAGATAATAATCATCAAACCACTTGACATCGGGAGATTGAAGCTTGATTGTGATTCCACCAACAGCTTCTCGCTGATATCCATCTGTCACATCATACCTGTCAGCCCAGCCATCACTGTGGGGAGACAAAAACCAGCTCAGCTTAGAACAGATACCTTCTAAGCCAATGATTCCATTTGCTTTCCTTTTGAAAAGATCAGTAATTAAATGGCTACTCAGCCACACCATGGTCCTACATTATACTTACATGATTACTGAGATAGAAACTTAGAATAAAGAATATAATACACCATGGGAATTTAGGGTCTAAGAGTATTAGAAGGCACCAGTCTCACTAACCTCAAACTGTGGAGAATAACCTAATACTTTTGGCAGAATGTGACTGTTTTTCACATACACTGTATGGAAGCTGCATGATATCACCATTCACATTATTTACTGAATGCTTAGTGGCTAAGTGAAGTTAACTTGAAATCCATTCTGTTCCTTTATAACAATTAGTTTAATGACCATAGGGTAAAAATGAAAATATCTCTAACATACACCTAGTATTAATTTAACCATCCTATGACATGGTATTCATTGTTTTCATATTTTACAAGTAAATAATAGAGAGGTTTAAAAATACCTGCTGATTATGGTCATTCTGTTAAATATTGATTCTTCAGCACCTCAAACTGAAATCCTGTAATCCACTGTCCATATACTCTTTCCTGTCCCATGGTACTTCTCTAATATATTTAAAATACACATATGGAATCATGTTTTGCATTGGATGGATTAAAAAAACTTCTTAACAGGAATGCCTGGGGGGCTTAGTGGGTTAAGCATATGACTTTTGATTTAGGCTCAGGTCATGATCTCACAATCGTGAGATCAGGCCCCTCATCAGGCTCTGTACTGGGTGTGGAGCCTGCTTGAGATTCTCTCTCTCCCTCTCCCTCTGCCCCTCACCCGCTCGTGCTCTCTCTCTCTCTCAAAAAACAAAACAAAACAAAGCAAAACAACAACCACCACAACTTCTTAACAATGGTATATCAAGCATAGTGTCAGGAATCATACTCTTCAATATTACTCTCATTCTATCCACTGATCACTCAAAGTAAGCGAGGAATTTTAAGATAAAAGAATTAGAAATCAGAGACTTCATGTTACAATGGTATAAGAATATAATAGAACAAGAGGAAAGCACTCTAAGCTTATTTGGAAAACAAGTGAGGCACAACATTGGAAATAAAAGACATAAAAAGATGTTTATATCAAATTTGGGCACACCTTGGGGCATTCAGGACAAACGAGACTGACTTTTTCACCCTCTTCCACTGGAATAGGCACAACTTGTGCTAAGTATCTGCTGGGACCTAGTGGTGGTGTCTTTCCTTAGGAGAAGGCAAGTACTTTTTCAGGAAAGATAAAGAAAGTCAAGGGATATTTTAATACTGAAAAAAAAACAGTAACAAAGAAGGAAGAGAAGGGGTTTGGAGAGAGCGGAAGGGAAGAGTAGAATGGAACCTCCTGAATGCAAAGCAGTAAAGTTTTTGGAGTTACACAGGGTTGGGGGAAGTGGGCACGAGGGAGAGGGAAAGGATTTACATTCACAATCAGTGTTTATTTCATCCATTTCAGATATACTTATCAGAATGTTAATTTCTTTTTATCTTCCTTCAAATGCATTTTTGTCTCTTATATATATTTTTTGTAGGTGGAGACCATGCACCAATATTTCGCATATAAAATCAGCACTGGGGAAGGTATTATGTAAGTAATTAATTAAAATAAGTATAAAAAGCATGTACTTTTTTCCAGCATGTTCTGCTATACCAACTCTGACTTAAAAACTGATAATGAGAGTTTTTCCAAAGGTCACAGATTACTCATTAAAATATCACAGGGGCTTGGGATAACTTGAGATGTTTCCTAAGGCATCAGTGGGTGGAAGAGGAGAAAAAAAATAAACAAACAAAATAAACAATATCTTCTTCTAAGTCATTTCTGACAAAAGATATTTCATTAAAATTATGGTGAAATTTCAAAAACCTTTGTGGAAGATCAGGAAAAAAAAATAAGTAATGCAATATGTTTTGTCCCAATGTTGAATTTGGTTACTTCACACATTATCTTCCCTCAAATTTCTCATTTTCAGTTGCAGAAGATTTTATTTAAAGCTGACAAGTTGAAATGATGTGGGCTTGTTTGCCTCATTTTCTCCCTCTGTTGTGGAGGGTTTATTATATCACTGGTATGAGAGTGTGGGTCTCACTGGCACTGGAGGAGATGCATGGGCGTATTGCAAACGGGGCAGGAAGCTCTGTTTGTCAAGCAGAGCCCCATTCTCCAAGAAGTGGTAATTTAAATTGCTCCTTTTGTTAATGCTAGCTCGCTCTTATGTAACACTATGATTATGAATATTACATAAGAAATTTAAGATTATAATGGGTCCAATTTACCCTTCACAATTCATTCATTGAATTTAATGGGGACTGTAAAAAGCTTGTCTTGATAAACTTTTTTGGAGGTAATATTTCCATAAAAAAAGTATCCACACCAGAGTGTGTTAATTGATTCATTTCTCATCATGTTCTTTAGCTCTTTTTTTTTTTTCAGGTATAAATCTCTTCTCCATAGTTAAAAGAATTTAGCAAAAGATGATGTTTTATTAGCAGCCTATACATTTGGTTTGTGAATTTAAAACAATTTAGTTCCAGATGTTTCCATTCAACAGCAAAATAAAAATCATAGAGGAGTGTGAATGTAAACAGAAAATTCCAATTTCTATTTGACAAAACAGGGTTATTCTATTCAAATTTACAGGGGAATATCTACTATGCAAGTTTAAGAAACTTCACTCCCTGCTGGCTAAGTTAGATGGTGTCATATGTCATTTAGGTTATTAGATATTAACATTTTCACAAAAAATGTGCTTTCAAGATTTGTGTTAAGATGATAGGGTATCTCTAAGTAAGGAATAATAAATCCAAATGCAAAATGAAACACCAAGAAAAACTTGAACGTACTTTTCTATGATCTAATGCTTTACATTACACTGATAGACTAGACTGTCAAGTACTACCTAAATGCTTTCAGGGGACATATATTTTATCAAATAAGGGGAAAAAAAAGTGGGGAGGAAGACAAGGAAAGAAACTAAAAATATACCATATTTAAAGCACTTTTCTAGATTTAGTATCTATCTTTCTATCTATCTTTATCCATCTATCTATCCATCCATCCATCCATCCATCCATCCATCCATCCATCCATTTAATTTCTCTCCTCACTGGTGGGCATTTTAACCATCTCCTCATAATACATTTCATTATTTTCCTTTCAATTCCTTGATATACAGTTAATCCTCATTATTTTAAGATTTATCTACTTGCTAAATTTATTTGCAACACCCAAATCAATACTCATGGCACCTTTGTGGTCATTTGTGCACATGCACAGAGTCGCAAAAATTTTGAGTCTCTGGATGTGCATATTCCCAGCTGAGGTTGAATGAGATCACCCTCTGCTTTCTTGTTTTAGCTTTCATATTCTAAACAAGTATCCTTTTCATGATCTATTTAGTATAAGGGTTCTTGTATTTTTTATGTTTTTTTTTCATTGATTTCACTGTTTAAAATAACCCCCAAGCATAGTGTTATCTAGAGTTCCTAAATAAAAGAGGCTGTGATATATCCTATATAGAAAATGCATTCTTTAAATCAGCTGCATGAGTAAAGTGAGTAATGAGTAAAGCGTTGTTTGTTATGAGTTCAATGTTAATGAAAAAACAGTATATATTAAAGAAAAATCTTATTCAATACAGAAACACACATAAAACAAGGTTATGTACAGACTAGTTGATGGGAATGTTGTGACCAGAGGCCCATAGCAATTTAAACCTGTATCTTCCCTGGGGGCAACGGTCAGTATTCACTGATTTGGTGTTTCGTGCACGTTTATGGAACATAAATACTGTGAATAACAAGAATTGAGTACACAAATATATTTTTAATTTGAGTGTTGTTTTAGTCAGGCCTCCAGTTTTTCTTTGACTATGGAAACAGTGACTTGGACATTTGAACAGGAAAAACATTTTTAGATTAGGTTGGCTTAACTAAAGGAGGAATCTTTTCTATGTACCCATTCTCAAAACACCTCCTCAGTAGATACCTTAGACTCTTTATATTCTCCCTTTAAATGTCTCCCTGAAGACATCGTTAGGACACATTATCTAGCAAGAATTTATTTTCATTTTCTTTTCAAGATTGCATTACCAAAATATATATTCCTATTCTATGATATCCCCTTCTTCCTTTCTTCTCTCAAGCCTCAATTCCTATTATTTCACATAATTAGCAATTCGTGAAAATTGAACTTTTATGTGTTTTCAACAGAAGGTTCTTTTTTAACAAAATTGACCCGAAATCTCCAGTTCTAATTCATCTTCTCCATCTCTATAGCTTTCCTTATTTTCATCAACATTTATTAAAAATCTACCTACCTTAGACTAAATTATTTTGTGGCAATAAACTGTCAATATTTCAGTGGTGTAGTACAAAAGTTTATTTCTTGCTCAGCTTTTAGATTCATTACAGATGGTCTCTAACTCTACTCCATGTCGCCTTCATTCTGAGACATAGTCTGAAAGAGCAGTTTTCTCCTGGGATGTGGCCAATCGTGTAGAAGGAAAAAATATGCAATGGTTCTTAAGTTGTCTACTCAGAAGTGGTACAGATCACTTCTCACATTTCATTGATGAAAGCAAGTCATATGGCCAAACCAGACCTAAATGGGACAGGTGTGTATGATCTTTCCCACACAGTGAATGTTGTGAAGAAAAATTCACTTCACCATATTTATGATGTATTGAAATTGTACTGAGATGGAGAAAAACATAAATTAAATAGGTATTAGATACTACACACCAGGCAGGGCTCACAGTCTAGTAGAGGAATGACAGAGGACAGACATATAAATGCATATAAATAAATATCATCGCAGGCATGAAACAACAGCAATGGGAGAGAACATCAGAAAACAACTAACTCTGTAGGAAGATCAGTTTTAAATGGAACTCGACACATACGGGTAATGGAGTGATAACAGTATTTTGAAATGGTATTTTCT